CATCCCAACCTAAGGAGTTTTGGCAATTGATGGCTGCTAGGAGGGAAAAAGATCGTGTCTTACTGGATTGGGACTCTTTGTAGGCCCAGTGGATGGAGCCACACTGAAAGATATTTGGGGACACAAATCAGACTCTATAGGCTATATTATATACATAAGAGAGTTCATTAAATTGAGTGAGGGCAATGGGAGGAGGTCAGGAGAGGGGAGCAGATCTAAAATAAAATTCGTAAAAATTCAGTTAGAAAAAAGAGCTTCTCTACCAAGGTTGAGAGCAGTCCAGGTCTTTGATATAAATATAAATATTTAGAAGGCAATTTGGCAACATAACCATTTAGGAGAATAATAATAGCAGTTCCCTATAGCCTATGACCTCATCAGCCATGGGCTTTTGACCTGGATTACAGTACCAGGTCCAGACTTCCCTCCTGTGGAGCTGTCCTCATATCCAACCAGAAAGCAGTTAGTTGCTGTATAACAGTTGTGCCACTATTATACCAGTGGGAACATCTTGCTTGGTGGGTCGGTTTGGGTCCAGTACTAGGTAAGACCATTGATGTCTTTTTTTTCTCCCAGAAGCCTGCACAACATCTTCTAACACCATGAAAAGTAGCCAACAGAGAGGAAGTTTCCTAGGTAGTTTCAGGTTTATTTTTCTATATACTACAACCCAAGTGTATGGTATCTTTAGCAATAGGTTCTTAATATGTAATTATGGAGGATCACTGGATAATGGCAATAGCCCATGCTGTTTTAGTGACCTCTGGGGTCTCTCCCTGTCCAATAACTTGTAGGGAGGTACCCTAGGCCTTGCATTGCAATTTTTACTAAATGAGCCATGTCTATTTAAGTTGTATTTTAAAATTAGCCTGCTAACTGGTAGGTTTCCATAGTCTTTTTCATACATTCTTTGTTTTGGTTAAACTACCCACTATCCCCTCTTCTATCCCATTTCCCACCCACTGTCCCCTCCTCTATCCCATTTCCCACCGCTATCCCAAATTAATTCTTTAACCTCCAGTGTAGCCCTCTCTTTATTGATATCACTTGTATTCTGTCTCTCCAATTACATTTTTAATTGACTTCCATAGGGCTTCTCATATATACTTCCTTTAGGTTAGGTCCCCTCCTACTCCCTGATTTCATCCATACTCCCACACCCTTCCCTGCTTAGGTCTTTACACTCCCAGTATTCTACCCCTCTACTTTTGTTTAAGCAATAATATACTTTCCTTAGTCCTGTAACATGCACACCCCCCCATCCCCCAGTTCTCCTTTCTGACTTCCATTTGTGCTGTAAATTAAAAACACAGAAGATTCAAAGTTAATATCCTCATATGAGAAAGAACACAGGACATTTGTCTTTCTAGGACTGAGTTACCTCATTCAGTGTACTTTTTCCAGTTCTATCCATTTATCTACAAATTTCATTATTTCATTTTTCTTAATAGCTGAGCAATTCATCTGTTGATGGACATGTAAGCCGATTTCATTTCCTAGCTATTATGAATAGTATGGCAATGAAAATGGGTATTTAAGTGTCTCTGTAGTAGGATATGAAGTCCTTTGGGTATGCCCAGGAGTAATGTATGTCAGTTCTATTTCTAGGATTTTGAGAAAAATCTTCAGACTGATTTTCAAAGTGACTGCACCAGTTTGCACTCCCACTGTCAGTGTATGAGAGCTCCCTTTTGTCATATCCTTGCATCTTGCCAGCTCTTTTTTTTTTTTTTTTTTTTTTTTTTTTTTTTTTTTGTCTTTTTGAGACAGGGTCTCCTGGTAGCCCCAGCTGGCCTGGAGTCACTATGTAGATGAGGCTGACCTTGATCTCATAGAGATCTGCCTGCCTCTGTCTCCCACATGCTGAGATTAAAGGCATGTCCCACAGTGCCTGAGTCAACTCCTTTTAAAATTGAATAAATAGCCATGTCTGGAGCCCTGCCAAACTCATACAAGTCTTTTAAATTTTTTCTTACAATAAAGTCGAAATAATCTAAATTATTTCCAAACCAGTGTGAAATAACAATATGCCATATTTAAAAGATATCATAAGCTACGTTCATTCTTAGAGAGCAACAGGGATCTTACAAAAAGAAGAAATACTTTGTCAAAGATCCTGTCAAGCCATTAGAACATATGTTTCATTTTAAATGGTGCAGACTGGCTTTACACTAAGCCAGAATAGCTTTGACAGAATCTACCTACAATAATGAGAGCTTTGACAAAAGCAAGTGTTTTCTGACTCTCAGTCTGGAGGAGCAAAGAATAGCATGCTAAAATTCTTATATACTTTGTTAGAAATACCCCTGAGTATTACATAACTCCATTACAAAGTTCTTTCTTGCATTAGCTTTAGTAATTTGCATTAATTTCTGTACTGCCTGACATTTTTTATTGACCCCAAGGCATATTTTTTTCTCATTTTAGCATTTCTGAATTTAAAATATATCTTGCAATAGAAAGGTTCCTAGGATTATGCCATAGCTTTATTCATAGCACTTTTGTGTCTTAATTCCCTGAAAATACAAAATAAATTAAATCTGTCTCTAGGACTTGATAATGAGACTGCTGATTGAAACTCTGAGAGCTTGTTTATAGTAATAAGTTGGGTTATTTCTTTAAAATGGCAATTAATCTACTAGTTCAGAGCTCAGTAAATATTTTTCTATAGAGCCAGATAACAAATGTTGTAGGTTTCTGGGTCACATGTAGTCTGTTAAAAATTTTCAAATCTACCATTTTAGTGCAAAAAGAGACAGCACATAAATGAATGGGATGACTGTGTTGCAGAAAAGCAGGTTCATAAAAACAGGCCACTAGCCTTCAAGTTGTACCTTTCCTACTACTGCACTAATTTATAGTGGGTATTTATACTACCAGGTAAATATCCAGACCACAAAAATATGTTGGATAAATAAATGTATATTACTGTGCAAGAGGATCAGAGGTGATAAAACACTACACCATGTACACTAAACTACATGGCATTTCACTCTGTTTCCATAATTTAAGAAACCTTTAACATTTATAACAAATACTTCTAAATAGAAATAGTGTGGTGATGTATGACATAGCACTTTTTTTTCAGTTTCCAAGTAATTTTATTCAAAACTTTGTGTTTGTTTCCTGAATCAGTAAATACTATACAAAACAATGTAAAAATGGCTCCCATTTTCTCTTCCCTGTTCCCCCCACCTGGTGACAAATCCCTGGACAACCTCATTCAGGGATTCTCCCTGATTTGGTCCAGCAGATTAGGCCAGAGTTGACATGTTTTAGCTCCTTGAATCATTTCTGGAGATTTGGCTTTGGTTTGAAAGTCTCTAGAATCAGGAGGTGCCAGGTTAGGGAAATGGATTATTGTTTTGGGGGAAGGAGATGGTGGTGCCTGAGGTAAGAAAAGGGTGTCTAAAATATTCACAGTTACTTCTTTTTGCCTTAAAAAGTGACATTTGTTTAAAGAGAAAGAAAGAAAAAAAAAAGACAAAATATCCATCCATTGGCTGGCTCCCTTCCCCCTTCAGCTTTTCCTAAGTCCCCCAGGATTGAAACCTGGCTAGGGCCAGGTAGCAAGACAGCCCTTCAAATGAAGTCATCAGTATTGAGGGTCATCCCTTCAATGGAGCTGCTGCAAAATATCTCTAAGAGTCCTCTTGTCTTCTGTGACCATGTCAGTGGCCACTCCCTTACCACCAAAATCGCCACCATGACTGATTCTGTGGTTGTAGTTTTCCCTGTTGGAAGGAAGGTCATAATTTATGACCAAAGAACCTGCTATACATCAATGCCTCTGGCCAGCAAGTTACTACTGATCAGTGCTGTGCTAGAGCCAGATCAGAACTCCCTCATGATCCCATCTCATCCCTTTTGCTCCATATCTCCATGTATGGATGAAACAGTGAAATCCTGGGCATGCATGTTTTCAGTGAGCCAATCTACCTTCCTTCTGGTGTTGATGACAATTACTGTATGGGTAATGGTCAATGTTACATACAAGTCATACATGTTTCAAGCTTCCACTCCTCTTGTTCCACATTGATGTAGTTAGTGTAGGATACCCTTCAGAGTCAGTTCTTCATTCTTAAGAAGAATTTAATGGGGTCTCTCATGAACTTCCTGGTCACTTCAGGAGCTGACAGTAAACCACTTGGATATTGCTGTTGAGCTTTTGCAGTGTATCCTAGATCTGATTCTTGAAGCCATGGTTCAACATTTCATCAGCTTTATCCAACACAAACATCATGATGTATTTGAAACAGGTATCTCCAGTTAAGCATATCAAATACCTGACATTCCCATGATGGTATGGGGAGCTTGTCAGCAGCTTCTGCACATCAGCATGCACATTGGTGTACTCAGTGCAGGGCAGAGGCACCCATGTTGTCTCCTAATGTCATGACCACTTTTTGTGTCTGCTGAGCCAATTCTCAGGTAGATGTCAGAACCAAAGCCTGAGTGGCCCTTAGATTGAATTTAATCTGATGCAGAATTGATATGGCTAATGTAGCTCTTTTCCCAGACGCAGACTGGGCTTGAATAATCACATCATAACCCTTGATACAAGGAAGAATGGCTCATTGCTGGACGGCAGAGGGCTTCTCAAAACCATAGGCATAAATACTATGGAGGAGGGATTCTCAGAGATTCATGTCCTCAAACTACCAATAATCTCATTCTTTTTGCTCTCAATGATGCTTTCAGGCTCCATCCCATTGGGACCATTGTCTCTGGGTGGAGAATGCTGGCTGGCAGACATGACCCTTAGAATTAGCCTGTAACATCCTTGAAAGCATAAATGCCTGGGTTATGCTTATTCAGGAGGACTGTGGCATAGTGCAGGAGTACTTACTCTTAGATCTTGGGTGTAAGAATGCAGACTGGTCCAGTTTCAGCATTTCAGCTGTTTTCTAGTTGTTCTCAACACCTTCTTAAACATTTTTTTTCCTAGTGTATCTTTCACCACTTTCCCTTTCATTAACCTATTTCATTTGTGTTTTTAGATGCTGAGTACAGTGCTTTCCATGTATGTTGTTTACAGCACCCACAACAGCCTACTTAAGAAACAAGGACTGCCGCTTATAAATCAAATTGTGAGCTGGGCAACATTAGGTAAGTGACTATGAAAATCAAATGGGAATACTTTGCATCCAGTCAGTTATCTTAAAATGGTACATTATGTTCAGACTGTGCTTATTGAAAGAAACAGTTTTTATGAAGGAAGGTCATAGCCAGCTGTTATTTTATTTCTTTCTGTGATTTGACAATGAATTTTAGAATTCTTGTTAGCACATCTATTACTTGATAATATTTTTGACTTGATAATATAATTGGGCTGTGTATTCATTAACATTCAATAAAAATATACTGAATGATTCTAAAAGAGATTCTTAGGAAGAGGATCATATGTTTAATTTTCATGTCAGTCTATACATTTTCAGGTCTTACAGTACAGAATACTAGTAAGTGGTTAAATTTTGTTTCTCTTTCTGGAAACAGTGTTGACCAGACAGCTGCCGGTACATTGTACATTTTATAAAGCTAATAAAATGTTTTCAATCATATTCCTCTCTATGGTGGCCTTATTTATAAATGTTAGGTGCACATATCAGACAAACATGAAGTTTAAGGACCTGGGTACTCCCTTCCAACCAGAAGGCAAGAAGAAGCTGTCTTTGAACAAGTCTTTGTTGTCCACCTTATTTTTTCTTTTATTAATTTTTTAAGTTAGCATAAAGGTTTCATCATGCTATTTTCACACCTTTGTGTCATTATACTTTGTGCACTTCATCCTCTTCCCCTACTGCCATCTTCCATCCTCCTGTTACCTGTTGCCATTGCACTTCTTCCCCCAAATAGTCCCTCCTTTTGCTTTCATGTCTTCAGTATTCCATTATATTATCTCCTCTTTCCCTTTCCTTTTCTCTGCCTTTAGATTTCCTCTTTTCTTCCTGTGATCCCGTTTTTACCTTCATACTTTGTGCACTTCATCCTCTTCCCCTACTGCCATCTTCCATCCTCCTGTTACCTGTTGCCATTGCACTTCTTCCCCCAAATAGTCCCTCCTTTTGCTTTCATGTCTTCAGTATTCCATTATATTATCTCCTCTTTCCCTTTCCTTTTCTCTGCCTTTAGATTTCCTCTTTTCTTCCTGTGATCCCGTTTTTACCTTCAACACACACATACACACACACACACACACACACACATACACACACACACACACACACACACACACACACATACACACACACACACACACACACACACATGATCTTGTATATGATACAAAATACTAGATTTTTTAAAATCTGGTTTATATCACACTTGAGATAACCCTTTGTGCATTTTCCTGAAAAAGTTATTACTTTATTTTTCTTACCAACAGAAAATAATTCCACTATCTAAATACTGCATTTTCTTTATTCATACATCTGTTGAAGGATATCTAGCTATTATGAATAGACTATAATGAACTTGGATGTCCAAGAACCTCTTGCCTTAGTTATGTTCTAGGTGCTGTGGTAAAATACCCTGACAAAAGCAACTTAAGGGAGAAAGGGTTTATTTTGACTCATAATAAGGTTGGCATTGATGTCACAGCAACAGGAGTTTGAGGTTACTGGTCACATTGCATCCCCAGTCAAGAAGCAAAGACTGAGGAACGTATGATCCACTCACTTTTTCCACTTTATACAGTTCAAGATCCTGCCCAGGAAATGATCTGCCCACAGTTAAAATGGATCTTTTCACATCAGTTGACACAAACAAGACAATCCTTCAGAGACATTCTGAGAAACTATCTTTAATCAGATAATCCCTTACAGGTGTACCCAGGGGCTTGTCTCCCAGGTGATTCTAGACTCTGTCAAGTTAACAATCGGCATTAACTATCACACCTCCACACTGATTTCCGTAATAACTACACTAGTTTGCATTCCCCACTAACAGTGTCCAAGGGTCCCTGTTTCCTCACATCCTTGTTCACAGAATAAGAAAAAATCCTTGACAGATGGGATATTAGTAGCCAGAATATACATTGATTTGTTCACATTTCCACTTAGTATAGGTGTGAATTCCTGAATTCCAATGTTTTTCAAAGTTTTTAAAAAATATTTTATTCATTTTTTAAATTATTTATTTAATAACCACATACTTAGAAGAAGCATTTCATTTCAATACCATTGACATATTCAATAACAATTTCTTGAGCTAAGGTGCATCTCTTTCAAACTTGGCTGTAAATTTTTAGGTTTACAGTTGAATTATTACAGTTACACAATATTGTACTCAGTATAAACCCTATAAGACATAAAATTAAATGAGGTTTTAACCTTTAAAAAAGCTCTCCATTTCATTATTAAAAAGCACAGTTTCATACAGAAAATTTCATTTTTAATGCAATTGACATTAAGATGTTTGCACATGCATTTCTAATCTCTGTATATCTGATTATTACTAGTCACAGTCGGTTGCTTTCTGAGCTCTTTGGCATCTGAGTGTGAATATAAAGTCATCAGGTAGATTTCAATGGTAATGTTTTTCACATCTACTAATTTTTAAGGAGCAAATTTTTGTGCTTTGAAGAATTATTTTTTTAATCATGTTTTAAAAATTTAATGACTACATGGTTAGAAGAAGCATTTCACTACAGATTTAACATATTCACTGACACACTCCAGAGCAAGAGTACATCTCTTTCATTAGCCCTGTAAGGCATAGAATTGAATAAGTTTTTAACCTTTAAAAAAGATCTCCATTTCATTTTAGAATACATTGTTCCTTGCAGAAAGATTCATTGTTTTTGCTACTAACACTGAGATATTGGCACATGCATCTCTAATCTCTATTCTTCTGATTATTACTAGTCATAATCGGTTGCACTTGGATCCTTGGCGCCTGTGTATGTCTATAAAGTCATCAGGTAGATTTCAGTGGTAATGTTTATCACCTCTACTAATTAGCATGGTGTAAATTTCCATGCTTCCTCCTCAAATATAGTACATTTAAAAAATTTCTTGATTTTTTTTGTGTGTATATATATCACACAGAATATCCCAAACCATCTTATTCAACTATATACCCAATTCCCAGATTGTACCCTCCCATAGCCTCCCTCCCCCAACTAGAGCCCTGATACTCTGATATCCCTGCTACTGTCTGCTGTGTTGTGGGCACCCCAGCCATTCCCCACTACTTGCCCTTCTGGTGAATCTTGTCTGCCTATCTAGAGGTCTTTGTTTTAGGAGGGTCAGCTGTTCTCATCTAGCAGCAATCAGTTGTAAATATTCCTTTAGATAAGATTGGGGTATGCTGTTCATTTTCCAAGTTCTATGCTGGGTTACTATCTGGGAATCCCTTGGGCCACCCTAGCCAACAACTCAAAAGAAAGTGTCTCCTATCTGGCTTTGTTGCTTGTTATGTAGCCTTTAGCTATACATATGGACTCTTATGAAATTATAATTGCCCCTTTAATCTTTGCTTATACTTTCTTTTGGATGTTTAAGGCCATACAGTTGGGCCTGATAAACCAATTTATTTTTACTCTTAAGGTCGTCTGAGGACCTGTTCCTCAGGGGTCACATGAGCTTGGGAGGAGCCCCTGGCTCCTTTCTTTTACCAGTTCTGCCTATGTGAAGATAAGTCAAAGGTCCTACTCGACCATGGTTGGCTTCACTTGGAAGCATGGAGGAAATGATTCCTCTGTGTTGACCCTCCTCTTTGTAGACTGGACACTGGTTCAGGTCCATCTGGTAGGGTCTCCTCGGCATCCTTGATCAAGGGGACAGGTGACCCATCACAATTACAGGAAATTTTGAGAGATGCTCATAATCCCCTGGAGCTAGTCTACCTAGGAAGGCAAGGAGCAAAAACTGTCCTTTATGTTCCTCTGACTCAATTAGGCCTCAAAGTATGTCTGTTATAGGCCTCAAAGTATGCCTGTTAAACATCCATGAACTTTAGTTCTACCAGTCTGGTACTTTTAATTACTGTGTGTCATGTAGATAAATCTTGGGCAATGACCAGTTGTTCTCAGATAAACCTTACCTAAACATGTGTTTATTGATCTGCGATGTATAATTTGTCAGTAGGATGTAGGAGTAACATAGTTCCCTCTGGTTTTCAAAACTAGCTAGGCATTATTTATCTCTCACATTGTCTCACCCCTCCTTCATGGTTTGCCCACTTATGGTGCCCCCATTTCCCCCCTTTCTCCCTTAATAATACCCTTCTGCCATGGCCCTACCTCTCTTGAGCTCCTTCTTTCCCTTTATCCCCTAGGTTCCTTATATACCCTTCCCTCCTCCATCCCTTAACCTAACCCAGTTTTTGTCCCTATTTCCCTTAAGGCCGGATTCCTACTGTTCTTCTCTTTCAGGTTTTTTATTTTCCTTTACCTCCCTGTTTCCTTTCCATTATCCTGGTTCCTATAGTTATCTCTGGATACATACTCACTTATCAGGGTTTGGTTCTAGGATCCACATGAGGCAACAACATATGTCAATTTTTTTTTCTGAGTCTGTGTTACTTCATTTAGTATAACAGTCTCTAGTTCCATTCATTTGCCTGCAAATTTCATGATTTCATCTTTCTTTACTGCTGAGTAAAACTCCATCATATAATGAACCACATTTTCATTATCCACTCGTCAATTAAGGGACACTTAGGTTTCTTCCATCTCTTAGCTATTGTGAAAAGAGCAGCAAAAAACATGGATGTATAAGTGTGTCTGCAATAGGATGAGTTCATTGGGAATATGCCAAGGAGTCGTATAACTTGGTAAAATTGTAGGCTCATTTGTAGTTTTTTAAGAGTTCTCCACGCTGCTTTCCGTAGGAGTTGAACTAGTTTGCAGCCCCACCAGCAGTAGATGGGTGTTCCCCTTTCGCCTCATCCTCTCCAACATTTGGTATCATTTGTTCTCTTGATCTTAGCCAGTCTGACTGGGGTAAGATGAAATCTTAAAGTGGTTTTAATTTGCATTTCCCTAATTATTAGTGATGTTGAACATCTTTTAAAATGTTTCATAGCCATCTATACTTCTTTTGAGAACTCTCTGTTCAACTCCTTAGCCCATCTATTAATTGGGTTGCTTCTTGTCTTGATTCTCT